TAATTAATATATATCGTAAAAAAAAAATACCAAAACATTTTCAAGATTTATAAATGCTATTTACATTGATAAGAAAGATAATCAAAACTAATAATCGCTATCACCATATTGCCTAAAAAGATCATAAAGGCTCGATGATTTTTTACGCCTATACAGTTAAATATCCAAGGACAATGACTTATTAAAAAATGGTTCGAGTAAGAATAGTTAGTAAAATAAATTTAATATGATTTAATATTTTTTTAAAATAAAACTCACTGGTCAAATCTTGCCACACATCGATCACATATTTTGCAATGTTTTGATCGTAAAGGTTTTTTAATCTAAATTTTTTCATTATATACCAAACTTAAAAGATTAAATTACATATTCTTCGACACAATTTTCCTACCAATATTCAAAAATACCAACCAAACATTTAAAACACAAATGCCTTGCATCTAACATTCCTTTGTTAGCTAGATCAATTATTAACTGGAATAATTAACAAAAAAAAAGATTATTAAGAGTTTTCTATCCACAAATTATGTTCATATTAAACATACTTGTTTTTGTTCTTCACGAGATTTTAATTTTGAAACAAATCCAGGATCAGCAAGTACAGCCGTATAGAATGAATATAATGATGTAACAATCGAACTGAAAAATATTATATTCGTCACAAATAAATATGATGTGGCTATAATTTAATATTTATTATGTAAAAAATTAGTAATATATGACATTATTTATATCATTCATTTTAAACACAAAATATAATAAATGAATAAATAGGAATGAAATTTAATTAATTTCCTTAATCATACTAACCAACTAATATTTTGAAAATATATGTCAGACAAAACCAAAATGCAGTTGCTTGAAATAAACTAGTGAAATATGGTGTTCTCATCATAGCATCAGGTACTTGCGCTTGAACCAAAACTTTTACTATTAATAAATGAAAACCAACAAATATACAAATAGCTATAGGTAACCCAATTAACCAAGGATAAATTGCCAAAGTTTTGAATGTCAAAAATAGCAAAATAAAAGGTATAGTATATATAATAGCATATGTTGTTTTCTATGTTGTGTAAGTGCACAAAAAAAAATTTTTTTAAAGAAAATTTTTAAGTCATATGAAAAAAAAAAATAATATTTAATTAGCAATATAAATAAAATTTGATACATAACAAACCTTTTCAAATAAATATATTTTTCTTTTTCCATTTTTTTTTATACCAGCTTCAGATAATGCACCTCTCCATACCTTTTGTGCATTCGTTTCTGTAGCAATGTCTTCGGGTGTTTTCCCATTTTCTTCTTTAATCTT